TGCAGAATATTCATGTGTTCCATTGAACGTCCATGGAATTTCAAAGTATTTGTATTGTTGAAGTTGTGCATTCTTTACTTTACCGTTGCAAGGGCGGATGCAGGCTTTTTTTGAAGGGGGGTGGGGGGTCTCAGGTGAATATTTGTACGGAGACACTAACTGGGCCACTTGAGGAAGGTTAAATTTTCAGCATTGATTCATGTATTYATGTACTATAGTGAATAGTTAGATGGCGAATGGCAGAATCCTCTGTTCAATGTTTTGTGACGTTTTGAGCCGATCGAGTCATTCGTGTCGTGGCAAGATTTTTTTTACTGTCAAATTGAACCAGCATTATCGAGTCAATCGCAAAACTCGCAAAACCCAAAGCCTCCGTCTCTCTATGAACCAGTGTTATGCTGGCTCCATCGGCTCAAAWACAGCACACAAAACATTRAACAGAGGATTTTCCGTCTACAGAAAAAGTTTGGTCTCGAAAATTTATCTCAGATTGGAAATATAACCAAAAAAGTCTCTCTTTCCCCGTCGCTTCTTAGTAAACTTGCCCCCCAAGCAATATGGCGTCGGAAACCGTGAAAGGGTCTATTGTAAGCTACTTTGATTACTGCAATTTTCATTTGAATCATGCAAGTCTGTGTCGATCTGTGAGCTGCACGCTGAAATGTGTCAGTACCTTTCATATTTTTCACTTAAATTCCAAAAATTCAAGAAAAATTTAAATTATTTTTTGCTTTATTTGCAGCCGATAGAAGTTGGCATAGTCCGAGCAGACTACATGYTGGAAAGTGACAAACCAACTGTAAAAAGTGTCAAAGAATGCAATGAAAACATAAGCGTCAAGCAGGTTGAGATAAACACAATGGCGGCAGGAGCTAGCAGTACGGGCTGCCAGCTAACAAAACTTCACCGGTGAGCAATAGGCCATTTCACGGATCCCGTTACTTAACCTCAGTCTCGTCAGCGTGTAATTATTCTTTAGAATTTGACTACAGTCCGCAGTAATGAAAGGAATTTACAAATCAACAAACAATTGAAACTTAAAAATTTCACRGCTTKTAGGCAATTTCTAAAGAATATATTGCACGCTGACGAGGCTGAGGTTGAGCCGCGGGATCTGTGAAATGGTCTATTATAATAGGATTACGATGTTTCAAGGTAGATGCTTATGAACCTTTTACACTAGTTCCTCTCGATATATAGTGACGAGATACGATTCAATTTTATACTTATTAATTATCTATGAGGGAATATTAGATCTAATTTTAGAGCTCTAAAGCATGGTTCCACWAAGGCGCCCGCAAACCCTCYSTCKCATCCAGTTAATCRTTTATATTTCTGTGATGTCACTCATTTAAAAAGAAAAACAGATGTAATAAAAATTTTAAATACTTAAATAAAAAGATAATAAATTCACACTTAAA